GTTACAAGGGCTTTGGTATAAAATAATATAAATGCATTGTTTTTCACATCAGTGACATTTTTGATATTTTAACGTTATTTAAAATTAATTACACTATTCTGATACAATAATAAAGTTTAACAATCACAAAAAAAAACTCATTTAACATTTGACCTGGTGAATTTGTTACAAGTATCCGAGCTGGTGGTTGAGTTATAAAAAAAAATCACCTACCTACTTATGATAATGTGAAATAATGTATGTTTATAACGGATGACTTGCTGGGCTTTATGTTCTTTTTTTTCTTTGTTGCCGGACGAGATGCAGGCACATGATGTAAGCAACAAATTTTTCTTCGCTTGATTGATCTGTTGGAATATAATAGCAAATTATAGTTTTACTTGTCATTGCTTTATAGCATGCGTAAAGTCATTATGCATATTCTTTAAATTTATACTATCATTTATTTGTTGATTGGGAAATTAAAATAATGTACTATTAGCATTACAAAAGTACAGCATGATACCTACACGACAAATGCATTTTTTAAATCTTAAAAAATCTTGCATGATATTATTATAAATTTTACAACCTTATAGAATTTACGTGGTCTATGCTATACTTTTGAAATGCTGCTACTTATTAACCCGCGATTTATTCAAATTAACACTTTTTTTTAAATTAAGGAAACACGCTGAATTTGATTAAATTATGTTAATACTAGCAAACAACGATTAATGCACATTATAGCACACTTAACAATGGCCAATTTATTAGTGTTACGTGATTTAGTAGTGGTGTAGTTTAAGAAGACCTCCGACTGAGACATTGTCCATTTTAGACAAATATTACTGACATCTAACTGACCGACAGTAGATTAGGTGTTCGTGGTAGATCTGAAACTCGGTTCTTCACTGCTGGCTATATGAGAAAGCCCAAAGTCACCCAGCGAGGTTTGGAGGGCTATGCTCGGAGTTTCACTGCGTAATAGACTTTGGAAAGAGGATATCTGCAGTAGAACCAGAGCAACCAATCAAGTCCAACGGATCAGTAAGATGAAGTGGCGTTGGGTCGACCATAGAGCACGAAGAACAGACAACAGATGGGAAAGAAAAGTTCTCACGTGTCAAAGAAAAGGTATTCGATGTGCAGTGCTACCCCACACTACAGGTTGATGCTTGCCGTTTGCTCGGGACTACACTTTGTGCAGTTCCTTGGGGGAGGCTTAAGTTCAACAGCGGGCTTGTGAAGGGCTGTAACGACGATGATGGTGATTTGGAAATTGTCGATGTAATCAAAAATCGACCAGGATATGATCGTCATGCTTAAGTTCTAGGCTTATGCTGACAGTCCTTATGTCAAATCATTAATTTTATGTTTGTTTTACTATCGATACATATATAATATGTTGAGTAATTAAATTAATCGGAATATTCAAAGTTAACAAATAACTGAAAAACTGGGACTTTAGAACCGAACAAAACATATATTTATTTTAGGCGCCGATCCCACAGCGAGCGGTTTAGTCCTGAGTTTCGCGTTCAACATTGCTTTTTGACCGTCGCGGTTGAACTGTTAATGTGAGTGTAAAGATCCAAGCCATCGCACAGGTTACAGATTAAGGGTTTTTTTTTAAATTCTTACTATCATTTAAGAAAAAAAATGAGAATTTGTGTAAATGCGCTGAAAGAAGCCTTGCTAATTCTACTATTATAAAAATACATAGAAAGACTTCATAACATTATCAAAAATATTCATTCCACAAAATAAGTAAAATACAAGTAGTGAAATTTGAAAATGACGCAGCATGCTGTGTCTCTAGACAGATACAAACGAAAACAAGGTTAATCAAGTATGTAGTTTGTAGTCAAGAATACTTCACTTTCACTTTTTGCATTAGAATTATATAATATGACGAAGATAAATACATTTTTGATAAACTGGAAAGTGGAGTCCTTTTATATAAATAAAAGGATTTTTGATAGCAGTAGCCGGTATTTTAGCCAACTTAAAAAAGGAGGTGGTTCACAATTCGACTATATGCTTTTTTGTAGGTATGTTACGCGATAGATTCGTCAATTGTGAACCGATTTTGATAATTCTTTTTTTATTAAATATAAATATGGAGAAAAAATTCATTCGAAGTTTAATTTTTTTCTTTAAAATACTTTGCTATTAACAACATATTGCACAGAATGAAAAAACAACGAGTGCTAAAAGGTATATACTATAATATCTTGTCCCCATATTTCAATTCTATTGGTATTAATAGAGTTTAATGTACATTATTAGACCTACTTCTTTCTAAAAAAAATGTGAAAGAAATATTTAGGAAGCGTGAGAAAAATACTTTCTCTATATTGAACACCGAGACTGATCCACGATCCTAAAACCTAGCACTTGGTATTCTCAGAATATCTATATATTCAAGGTGGTGCCGATATTCTCTAAGCAGTTTTCTTGCCACCCAATAATACTTAGGTTACTCAAAATTATCAAGATGTAAGTGAAACCTTTCAAGTTCACTCCACTTGCTGATAACTTGACCTGTTAAATAATGGTATGACCATAGATTAGTACTAGGTATGGCCCAATATAAGGACCTGTTTGAGATTCTTAGAACTTTTAATATTCACAACATTGTTATCACGGGTGAATCTTAGGACAAAATTTCCGACAAAACATTTAATCGCGTTCGGAAAACGCTTTGCCCAATTTTCTTCATATATACAGGCGACCCGGCTCTTGAAAGTGGGCGGTAAACGTAGAGAAAACATCGTCACTTAGCCAGATCTAAATATATAATAATAGTCGACAGATAGCGATTGAAGAAAAATAATTCGAGCTGATAACAACACCGTAAAATCATAAAACCGTCAATAAATTAACAGTTTAGATTTAACTTGAAATTCCTTATTCAATTAAAGCAGATTTAAAATATACAAATATACAACGGTCCTTTGCTTGATGTGTTTCATTTTGAAGACTGATTTGATTATGATTTAATCACATCCACAGATGACAGCTGTTAAAAATATGGATGTTGTCTAAATTTAAAAATTGATTTTCAGTTAAAATATCTTTTAAAAATTAGTAGTAAAAATTGTAGTAGAATAATAAATTGCCTAATTTGTAAAAGGTAGATATTATCAATCAATATGCTCATTAAAAACGGAGTTTGTCTCAAAGTATTACGTCTACGTCGTCATCGTTATTCATATTAAACTTAAAATATAATTTGCTGGTTCTAAATATAGGGGACTGATTCATGTTTTATCTGACAACTCTCAAAACGCACACACACGTAACGTGGCCATTTGCAGGCTTGTCCAATGATTAGACGATGCTCCAACCGTATTTACGTCCGTGCTGCAAATCATTTTGATAGATATTTTTGTTGAATAATCATGTTACAATTTATCTTTTTCACCAAAATTAAATGAAACGCTTATTAGGCACGCACTTTTTGATTTTCCAAACTATTTATAAAATGTATTCAATTATTTTTTCTTAAGCCATATGCCAAACAGAAGTTATAGCATTATAACTCTCCATTTAATACTTTGTTTATTTAAAAATCATTGTTTTCCACATTAATTGCTTTAATTAATTATTATTTGAAATAATTATTATTTTAAATAAGTCTTTAGGAAACCACCTACTAATGTTAATATTTTGTTCAGTTCCAGTTTCATGTGTAAGACAGACATTAAAATGATTGGCATTTCGCAGCTTTTTGCCTTTTGGTAAAGGTCTTTTTTGATAATATAAAGAAACTAAGTTACTTATTCCATTTTTTAAAAGAAATGTAATAAACCTATATGTTCTCATTGAAAGCTATTTGTTTATTGTTTATACATTTCTTTACCGGCATTAAAGTGCGATCGGCCTACATGCAGCTGAGTTCGCGAATAGTTTTAATTATATTTCTGTACAAATTAAAGGAACATGTTACTGATATTGTGTTCTTTGTGATTGAAGGATGGTATACATATTTGTTACATAAAAAAGATGACATCAATGTCAGATGATCAATCATGTAACAAAGAAGAAATGGATAATAATATAAAGAAGTATCAAAGTAACTTAAGAATAGGGGTGCAAAAATATAAAAATAAGTGCCGGAGGTAAACATAAACTAAAAATGGGGTGGTCCAATTTACTTATGACTATTTAATTTTAATGTTTTATATTCTTAAAATATTAAAGGTGAAACTAAGTTATGGGATAAAAAAGCTAAGGAGATAAAAACTAAAAAACGTACAAAAAATTGATTTTCTTGTAATTAAAAATATTAGTTTGCTTTTAAAATGACAATTTTGATAAATTGTGATAGAAATTGGACTCAACCCCGTCATTATGTTATGAACAAACACCGGAGTTTTCCAAATAAAGCTTTGCTCGATCTTATTTTAAACATTGCCCTGTTGTTTTTTTCCCTTCGTGTCTTTTAATAATGTCTTTTTAAATGTCTAATAACAAAACTGATATCTTTTTTGAAATTTGGCAAACTCTGCTGTTTCTCGTGAACTAAATAAGTGGACAAATGCGAATAATTGCCATCATCAGGAATTTGCATAACTTAAATATTGTACATGCATAATCTAAAGTAAAGGTAATATTTACCATGGTGCATAAGATAGCTTTAACAAACAGTACATAATATTATATAGATACAGAATATTAGTGTTAATTATGTGACGAGTATCATATCAAAGTGTTTTGTACAATAAATTATGTATTACTCTAATACAAGAAATACTAAATTACCCCAGTGTCAGAACGGCGCATGCAAATTTTATGTGTTCATTGTTTTCGAATATATGTGTGAACATTCAACTCCGACTAAAATGAATGGCCTCATTGAAGCCTAACGAATCTCGATGTAAGCGATATGATCTGACCGTTCCTAAATATCCAGGCGCCACTACTCAATGAGTCGATTTTAAAAAAATATTCTAACTATGGATGCTGTCTATGGAAGCCCAGTTAACGCGTCAAACCTGACCCATTTCCCGCGCTTAGAAGAACGTGTTATACACGTATCCGGTCGCAATTAGGCCGAGCACGAGCAGGCACAGCATAATCATAATCTTCTTCTGCACAGGGGACAAATACGACACATATTAGTAAATAGAAAATGGCGGCGAGCCAACGACCACTTTGAGTTTGCATAGCGCCATAGATAGGCTGTCGTAATATACGTAGTGTTGTCGGCTCGCCGAGGTCCGAAAGAGTTTTACCTTTGAGCATTTGGCGGTGGGAGTTCAAGTTCGTCCCGCTCAGCCGGAGATCTGGCTCCACACGAAGGCCACGATTATCAGAACCAGTATGAGCAGGCACACTAGGATCATGATCTTCTTCTGTCGTGTCGAATGGCAGGCATGCAACAGTACGCTTTTAACTTGTCCCGGCAATGAGCGCCGCTTATGTCGCTTCAATCTTACATTATATAAATTTGGCAAAGAGAATTACACTGCAATGTTTATGTATATGTTTATAGGCTTCGTTCAAAATTTGCAAGTGGGTGCGTCATTTGCCTTTAGGGTTTTAAAAAGGTGTTAAAATGAAAATAAGGAAATCGAAATAAAATAAATAAATGTAATTTTTCGAAATTCATAACATATTTACAGCATGAGTAAATCTTTTAGAATATACACTTCTAAACAAATTTGTAACATGTACCCTTCAAAACGAAAGGCAGTAAAAAATTCAAACATATTTTCATAAAACAAAAATATTCTAACCGGACTGAACGTAAAATTAAGTAATTATAATAATAATAATATGTAATGAAAATGGCATTAACTTATATTTCACAGTCTTTTAATTCAAATAAATAAAAACTTTATTGCTTAAACAGATGACGAGTTAAAAAATTGATAGACGTAAGAAACTATGAAAACTTCCTTCCTTTTTATAAAGCTAATTTTAGAATATATTATTTTTGTATACATACATTAGAATAAGTGTTAAATTAATATTTTCTTAAAAAAATACAGGCATAGACATTATTTAATTAATCCATAAATATTTGTCAAGCTTTTTTTCAGCGTCTGTGCTTGGAAATTGTTTCAAATATAAGATGATACATATTCGTCATCTGAACAAGCATTACTTAACAAAACATCAGTTTCAATTGCTTGACCAACAACAAATAAATAATTAGTCAATCGTAACATTAACTGACCTACTATGTATTTGTGAATAAAAATTGTTGAAAATTTAGCATAAAAAGTGCTAGATAGGTACATCAGATACTCCTAATAAATGCAAATGTATATAGCTGTGAAAGAAATATTTAAATTGACATGATTTAAATACTCTCCAAAATCATGATGTGATCAACAAATGAATGAATTAATAACAGAAATATTTAATCGAAAAACATAAGTACTAAATAGTAAAATTGTACAAACTTCTGTATGATTCGCAAACTTAAAATAGGAATCAAAATATTAATCAGTATAAATAAGCAGTATATATAACCTTGTGCTTGCAACTTACACTAAGAAAAATACTGGTCGCCATATTAGATATTTTACAAAGCAAAAACTGAAAAATCTTCAAAAATAAAGGTAATGAAATAAAGGTTTTTAATAATTACAGCTAGTTATTGCCGAACAGGTTTACATTTTTGATAAAAAGTAAGGAAAAAGACTGATAAAAGTTAAATTTTAGAAATAGTTTTTGTAAGATACACTTCATTCTCAAATATTAGCAATATTAATATGGATGTTAACTTCACCTTGTCAATATAAAACCTCTGTATGTTTAAATATCAGTTATGTGTAATAAACGTAAAAGTAATGATAACAATTACTTTTTTCATATAGATTTTTAATAAATTAATCGAACTATATTATATTAAACACAGATCAAATGGGAACTTACCTGTTTCCTTATAACGTATATAATCCATTCGCTCCTGGAGTCTTACAAAGAACTTATACAAACTTACATAATCATTTTAGTATCAGTATTAACAAAATTATGTACACCGAAATTATAAATAATCTTTCATAGTTTACACAGTACTGGTAACACCAGTAAAGCTATATAAGGACTTACAATATAACCTATTTCTAAAGCACAATCTATTATTGCACTTTATACATATTGTCTTGATTGTAAACGTAGGACTATTGATCTGGTACAAAACATGACTGAATATGAAGAATATTATTTTGTGCGTATACTATATATGTATAGTTTGATTAAAGATAAAAGAAAATCATTTTTACATTATATGTTACATCTAATAATCGATTCATTGTTTTGTTCATGTTTCCAAAGTAAAACAGTAATATTGCGGATTTAAGCATAATTGTAGTTTAAGCATATTGTCAAGTATTATATGTTTCTCTAAAATGTTTTCCATCAAATATTATTTTTTTGCAACAAAGACAAAATTAAAATTAATTACTTAAATGTGCCATTATTTGTTTTTGATAACTGAATAGATGGACAATCGTCCCATTAAGTTTGATTGATTGTATCGCCAAATGCAATTAAGGTATATTCCATTACAATTTTCAACGTATGTAAAAAATGTTTAGATACCGTTACATCTTACGTTTTCTGCCAAATAATATAATATCGGGTGTAATCGTTAAATACGTTTGTTAACTATGAAATGTTATATGATAATACACGCACTTCAACAGAGTAAATATGGACTAACGAAAAACATAAAGTAAAACGATTACAAGTTTAGATAACAACTAGTAAAATATTATTAAATAGTTCTATATATATATATATATATATATATTATGTATACGCTATTTCATCTATGAAAGCTGAAAAACAATAACAATTAAATGCGCATCTGGAAAAAAAGGCACAAATTTATAACGCTTTCAATCTCTTTTTGGTTCTTTTTAAAAAAATAACAAATATTTTTTAACAAGTTAACCACCTACATCCATCGACTACCTGGATGTTTCATCAGGTCGTTACTGCATTTTGCCCAACACTGCGCTTGCTAGTACGAGGCCGCCATTCGACATTTAATGGCTTTTCACATTTATATTTGTATATAAAACATGTAATAATAGAAGCAAAATACAGAAACAAAAATACAGAGTACAGTTAGTTAGCTTAAAATCAGACCAATTATGAAATAATTTCGTAAAATGGCATAAAGGACTCTGATATTAATTGAAAGATTATTTATTTGCAATGGTTTATACTTCAGTCGTTGATCAAATTTTGAAGAGACGTAAAATCCGTATATTATTTACATTAGATGGTCTTGCAAAAACATATACAAACCTTACTAATATTATTATATCGAATGTATAATATTTTATCTTTTATTAAAAACATCTAGGATGTGTTATTTTTGTATTTTCACACAAAGCACTTTGGTAAGTTTACTTCACCACTCTCCAAAGCACATATATATGAAGCTAACAATTTCAATTTATGCTTTCTTTTACTGACGGACATTTTCTATTTCCGTTAATTATGTATTTTTTGTATTATATACCAATGTCTAGGCTATGTATAATAGTAATGGAAATTATAATAGGTAATTATGTAATTTATGTTTGGTTATTGATCCGACATTTAGCTTGCGTTACTAATTTACTGATCTATATAAGTAAACTACATAATATCAAACATACACTTATACATATACTTGAGGCTTCGAATTGATAAAATTTCTCTATACATAGTAGCTGTAACATAATATACAACATAACTAAAAGAGAACTTAATCATAATAGTTAATGCACCAATAAAATAGTAATATAAAGATGGAAACAAACATTTTTAAATCAATACCTTTTTCTTTTAATATTTGTGATGAATACTTTCGAACACAAGCAGTAAGGACCAGTGAGGACCCATTATATTACATTGATTGATAGATTACTACTATGCTAAACCAAAATTATGTAAGCTCAATGCAAAATTGTACTCCTCAAGAGTGAGCAAGTTGCTTGCAAGATACAGTTACATGTGAGCTTCACAAAACATTGATAAATCAGAAATATTTTCTCTAGACCCTTTATTGTCTTCTTTTATGCAACTCCAAAACAAAGTATGTGCGAGCTGCCTTAAACAAATTTGAAATAGACGTTTGACAATGCGCAGTTTGTGGTCATAATAAATTAAATTCCAACGTCCTCCTGCATCGTACACATAGCGGGGTGTCGTCACTAAATCAGATTCTTCGTTCGACGTCTAATGTAGCACGATCGCGAGTATAATTATTAATATAACCAGCGTAACAGACAGGCATATTATGATGAAGATTTTTTTCTGCAATGACAAAGGAAAAACAAAAAGAAAATAAAATTACTGCATGTAATAATAGGTGAGTGACTAGTGTTTCGTGCCAGGGTGGATATGTATATTATTTGAAAATTTTATACAAAAATTCAATATACATATGATTAACAAAAAATAAGCTATTGTGCCACTAAGAAACAAACCAAAAATGTAAATAATTTTGCTAACTTTCATAACTATCTAAAAATATTACATTAAAATTTCGTTAGAAGATACAATCGTCTATATATTATAAGACGACATTTAAGTAGTGGGTAAATCATAATAAATATAAATAAAGTTGTATTTAAAATAAGCTATGTATAGTTTTATATGTGTGTTATGATTGTTATAAATTAATTAATTTTAATAGATATCTATTTTATATAGACAAAATCTAAGCTGAAAAAGGCTTGTAACAAAGACTTCTATGTACACTACTAGAGCGGCAATTCAGAACAAAAACTGCAGCTCTGGACCGCGCAGGGCCGGGCACGGACGCAGACGGGCTGCGGGCTCGGTAAATATGTCACACAGTTGTATTTGCATTTACGGCAGTTATTGTTTTGGGCAAATACGAAATAAAGTTACATACTTATATGAAATAAACTTCAAATTACAGTGTGCTCATAAATAATGACGTTTTCTTAGTAACATTAAGCAAAATCAGTGTTAGATTTTCGAAAACAACGTTCGCTGTTTACAAAAAAAGACTATTCTTCCCGCCCGCTCGCAGTCGACTAAAGACGTGACGGAGAATCGAACATAACTTAGTACGCAATGTATTAGTATCATAGTGTACACATAGAAGTCGTTGGCTTGTAACGAATATAGCACATTCAATCTACGATGAAAATAAAAATTAAACTAATTATAAAACTGTTATTCCTAATGGAAAATCCATTTTGGACTGGTATTAAAAGATGATTAAATTATATATTTTGTAATTAAAATGTTAAAGCATTAAATTTGCGTCATTTGTCCCGCAACAACTCAAGCAATGGCGAACACGTAACATACAGCAAAATCCACATCACGAAACATACAGTTATGCGTGTGCAATTGTGAAAAGCATAGCATAAAATTATAATATAAATCTTTCTTGTAATTAATTTGCTAAATTTTAGCTTAGTCTTAATTATTTTTTTAATAAGCCAAAGATATTAATTAAGGCATCTAATTTTTGCCATTAACTTATCTAGTATTTCATGCTTTGCTGTATCTTAAACAAAGATTGTTAGTAAGACTGCGGCATAAAATAACATTGTTATTTTTTTATTTTTGGCATGCATTTTTATAACAAAAATTCATATTATATTCACATTACATTAAAATGTTTTTTTTTAATATTAGTAATTAAAATAACTGCCAAATATTGACGAGGGATATAACATGGCTGACTATGTGACTGATATTATCTGAACTTAACCAAATTGATATGTTCATCAACCTTGATACATTCAGAAAGATTATTCAACATGCTTGTCACACTTCAAGACGAGATAGTGTTACCAATCTACCAAAAGACAAACGTTTAAATTAATGAAAAGTGTGACTACAGAAGTTGAATAACTCTAAAATATTTAAACTTCATAATTTTCAATTTTAATGTTAAAAATGCCAAACTATCGAACATAGAAGTAATTAGAAGAGATTGTCGTTTGCGTGCAATTGATTAAGTAGGTGCATGCCACAGAATAGCAACACCTGATAGTCAAGGCCAAGTCCACACACGTGTGACCACCCATCTGAATGGTGTTAATACGACACCATTCGTTGGGCGATCCATGAATGTATTAAGAGGATATACCGAGCAGCGTTTAGGACATTAAAATATATACACTGTTTCCTCCCTGGATAATGACACTAGAGCATGAAGCAAATACTAAGAGGAGGTGTTGAAATTAGATTTCACTATGTAACAACGCGTGACAATTTGCGGGGTGAGGGGATGCTAAGCCCCGCCCACTTTACACTACATCTACCGATAAATAGTAAAACTACTCGAATCGTTCCATATCGACGTAGCAATGTAGTTTAGCTACTTTGACGATAGATGGCGGTCTGTTCACAAAATGGTTATAAACTATAAAAATAATATTTGGCAATTAAAATTTCTTTGTCTGAATGCAAAACAAATTTCAGCACCTTCGTATGATTATTTAACCAATACTGAGCTCTACGTACCTTTATATCTAGTTCACATGACACAAAGTGTCGCTATCTAGTGTCGAATATATTTAATTATATTTGAAATCCGATGCAAAGAGATTTTTCTAGAAATATTTTAATAAATTAGGTGTAAAATTACTTACAAATGAAATGTGATGCCATCCATAACATCAGAGCGTCTATCTGAGTAGTTTTTACACGATAAAACACAACACTTCATCCTTTTCTTCTTAATACTACGAAAATACACCGATTTGCCATTTTCAACAACATAAGCGCACAGGACGTATGCTGACAGTATACTAACTAAAGCCACGCCCACTATGATGACGTCAGGACCTACTTAGAATTACAGTGCACAGTTGCTTATGCCGTCTCCTCTTTGTATTTGTTTCATGCACTAGAGCGAATATTCTTTTTATCATGCAATCTACATTGGCATGTTGTTTTTATTCCATAAATCATTTTTTTTAAATACTATGCTCAATTACCTTCTAAAATTACCCTAAATTACTACTCTGTTATACCGCTATGCCATTATTAGACACGAAACAAACAAATTCTGCGAACATGTTGATCTTATAATTGTACTTGAAAAAAAAAATTGACTTCATTCGGTCATAATTCAGTCCATTTTTTGGAGAGGGAAACAGGAGAGTACGGGACTAAGGTTTCGTAAATTTTTCATCGGTATAATCAGTTTCAACAACAGTCGTCTCTCTCGGTTGCCTATCTCGATCGTTCCGGCACGCGTGACAGCAATAGTCTAGTAAAATTTCTTGCTGCCCAGATATCCTCTTAATATAATTTCTTGGAAACATAGCGTCGAAGAAATAATTAATCATGACGATTTACATAGCATTAGGGTTAGGCACAAACAAATTAGACAGAAACAAAATTGTTATAAATCTTTCTTATCAATAGCTTTTAATTAAAATTCATACAGAAATCGATAATCAAAATTAAGAAATATCGTAATTCCTTTTTGTTTCTCCAACCAATTTGTTAAGTTTTTAATTTTGTAGACGTGAAACAGAATTAGGTGTAAACAATATACAGATATTTTTTTTATTGTTTACCTATGGTGTCACTCGCCTGTTTATTTACCGTGTTATCTACTCAAATTATACCTATACTTATTGCTATTTTTAATGTAGATTTCCTTTGATATTTTTTATATTATATATATATTGCTGGCCGTTGGGTAAGACTGGCCAAGTGCGTGTTACAAAAAGCGTATGGTTTTTATTTTACCGCTATATTTTCAATATTTGTATAACGATATAGTGTCCGTTGTCATTTTCAATGAAATGTAATGTGATAATAGTTATTTTTCATATTTGTTCCATATTTTTATATAAGTTATAATTGGTTTATGGAACCTTATAATTGTATTATTTTGAAAGAACTTTGTACCAAAAACATTCTGTCAACATAATATAGAAAAAAGTATATAAAATATACATATTTATGATATATAAATCTATATCCAAAAATATACTATTAAATTCAATCTTATGCGGTCAATAACTAAAAATTATAATAAAAAATATAATTTGGGATTTTTTTTTTATTTGGGAAAAGAAAGACCGACACACATAGAAGTTTATCAATCAAATAAAAAATAAGACTAACATTCGAAATGTGTTATCAAAATTTAAGAATTTTTGTATTTTTAGTTTTTACGTTACGTTACAAAATTACGGTATTACCATTACAGAGCATAAAAATATATCATAGTGTGATAAGCATGCTTACAATTTCTTCATTTTAGGAAATAATCCAAGTATTTGTAACACATATAGGACCTTTTTCATTATTTTGGGTAATGTGTTTTTATTAAGTCTACGAGTTTGTGACAGTACTTCCTAATTATTATTTTAGAAGTTATTAGATTATAGTCCATGCATGTTATAAAAACAATATTTTTTAAATAAGATAATAATACAAGTGTATGTTAAAATTTCCCATTCCTTCTCTTTGATACTGTTGAACACATTCTTTTAAAGGGCCTTTTACCACTGTTTTGAAAGGTGTTATAGCAAGATAAGAGATTTAAGTAAAATAAATTTTTTAGTTCAATCCTCTCCCATTGAAAAGTTGTATAGTATGTATTAAAGTGGTCTGGTGAAGTTGGCATTTTAGTAAGAGATAGATATATCTCAGTTATCGTATCGGAATGTTATGGTGAATCATCCAAGTTTTGTGTATTACCTTCCTAGCTTTCTTCGCCCAGGTGAGCGCTTGTACGAGCTCCTCTTGACCTGAGCCCACGTAGTCAGTGGTCTGCGTCACGTGGTGCTCGATGCGATCTATCAGTTCGCCCTGCTTGCGCTAAGGTCAGTGCCGCTGGGAGGGAACGGGACGCACGATCGAACTTTGCGCACGGCCGATTGGTTCATACGGTTTTAGGATAGCCCCTCAAGCAGTTACAGGAACCGACCACAATATCTAACGGTTGTGTTAGGAGGACTATTATAGATGCCCGAAACACCAAAGTATATAACTCCACACAGACGTACATGTGAGTGACATTTATAATATAAAGTGGTAAGTTTTTTAAATACATAAATTTAATAAATAAATCGTTATATTCATTTCAAACTTGTTACATAATAACATGTTGCGTTAAATGTACAATAATCACGTTAATATAGTTATTATATAACAAATACAACCAAATAAGAAGAGGCAAATTACGCACACACCAAAACCAAAGTCAAATCAGTGATACATAGAAATAACGATGTTAAATTAAGAAGCCCATTTCCATCGAGTGTTACTTAGAGAGACATGAACAGTTAGTACACAACACTTAAAGCCAAATAGTGAATGCACATGTGAAACAAGTTAGTAATGGTCAAAATAAAAATGGTGTGAACCAATCACCGGATCGTAATCGTAAACAAACAACAAGGTTGAATATATGAGCCGTTCACAACATAACATGGGAAGGTGGGAGTGAGGTTGGGTGGGAATCGGGAAGGGAAAAAACAAAACAAAAACGCATTAGCAACGAATGATCCGACAGTGGAATGTTGATAAACTCACCCGTCGAGCTTTGCTCTGATATTTAAGGGCCTTCTTTGTGTCTTGTGTGGCAGTTTGGACATAGTCCACAGCATGCTCAACATGATACTCAATGCGGTCGATCATCTCACCCTGTATCCATAGGAGCTTCGTTTAATTTTTTTATTAGCTTAATATATTAATGTATTTCACCTTTCAATGCCTGTCCAGCAATATATCCTTTGACTCTGCATTTTACATAATATTATCATTTTTTTTTATCTAGAGCCCTTTGGTTTCAATAGCTTTAATTAACATCTTTTGTATAGTCATTAAGTAATTAATAGTTTTGAACATTCTTTTGTTTACCTTATCGCAAACTTTAAGACGCAATAATCAAATTGACAACTAATTATGTCCATCCCTTTTAATCTGAAAATCACATATTGAACCCACTAGCCGCTAACCAGCAGTGCAGCCGATTTTTTGTTCCGGACTGTAGGGTATGGGTTTAATAACAGACTGTGAGGTATTTCATATCATTCAGAGAAATAACATTGCATTTCTAAACATGCATTCATATATTTTTGAAGTCGAATACCGGTCAAGACCAAACCACTTACCAACAGGTGACTGTTCGCTCGTTTGTTTGTTTGTTGTTAGAAATTAATACAACCCATTAATACTATCCTAAACACATCCCAAATAATGTAAATGCGAGTGACCTGGCTCTCGACGAGCATGGCCATGTCCATGAACATGTCGTGGAGCTCACGGATGGAGGTTTCCAACTTGATGATGTCTGCATGCCGCGCCTCAATGTCAGCCAGTGTCTGCTTCGCTTGCTGCGTCTCCATTATTATCTGGAATCGGAGGAAATTTCCGGTAAATTAACAGTAGACAATGCACACCAGCAGTTCAAGAATCATTTTTTTAGTATTGATCCGAAATAGAGCGTAAAACTATTTTCAAATCAAATTGCTTCCTTTTATTCCGCATCCATTTAACACTGATCTTGTCTAAGCGCGGAAGTCAAAGCTGTGTGCTAGTTGACTGGCGTCAATCAATCACCTAATGGTAAATCTGCATTAAGCTATTAAAATATGAGTCATGTCTTCAGTAGTGAGAACAAAGAAAGTGCATTCACCTAACATCCTCGCCATTATTAATGTTCTTAAAAAATTCACTACAACAAAGCCTATAGACAGACCGTCTGGAAATATAAAAATGTCATATCTGCCAAATGCCGTTTGCTTTAGTTTTTCTTCTATCATACAAGTCTTTTTCGGAACATAGTAGTAGTTAGTAAATCAAAAATATTAAATAAAAGGGATCAAAAATATTAATGATATAAAACATGCGTGAGAGTCGTGGAACATTTGGTTGGAACGAAGCTCCTTTCGTAGTATATTATTATTTATTATTGATAAACGTATTATATTATTGATTTAAAAATACAAATAAATGAATTACTAACGTCTATTAAAACGAAACATCATTTTAAATAAAATAATATTTCTTTCATGGCAAGATAAGAAAAAGTGCGAGGGAGATGGATATTATTCCATCTCGCTTCCTTATAGCCGCCAAAACCGTCTACACTACGTCAGAAAGGGTCGTGACGGAAAAATCTTACACTTTTTCTCGCCTAGCCCCCATCCGCCAAATTCGTACCGTAAGATAAGGAACTTCGTTCCAATAATCTAAATTTAAATTCTACAGCAACTTGCAGGAAGCTATTGTAATGCCTCTAGTTTTGCTTAGCAATAATATTCGTGAGTCATAATATGTTTCCGGTAACGCAAACGTTCAGGAAGTGGGAAAGCCCCTTTTAAAGGAAAAACACTTCAACGCAATTAATTTTTATTAGATTTTAAGTCCGTAAGCATGGCAAAAATTCGTTGCAAGTTTGAACAACTATATAAAAGTATTTAAATAGATATTATAAGTATATTATAGATATCAACATAATTATGTAAATTATATTTATAATATTTATATATATAATTTCACCTCTTAATCTCCTTTCCTTTTTAGATCTTTGCTGCACCACCTCTTATATGTCTATCTCTGTTTAGCCATATGGTTGACGGACTGGAAGAGAATGGCCTATGCCATAGACCCCATGGCATTAAGGCTGAGATCTATAGATCTTACTTTGACTTTGCTCAGTCTTAGCTTACGACAAACTTAGCTGAGCATATGTTCAGCATAATCTTTGATTCTGAATTTATAGTTGTATCGGACTAAGATTAAGCTAAGCTTATGCTAAGGCCCAGACAGTCCAAATATTAATGGATGCTTGATTCCACTCCTTATGTTTTTGACTTTACTGTATAAAATTAAAAATATACATATTTAAAATCAGTATTACTGTATAAAATTAAAAAAATATATATTTAAAATCGAAAAAAGTCCAAATTGAATTTCATAAATTATATATTAAGTGGCGAAGCTTGCGAAGTCACTTATTGATTTCAGGATGTCTGTCCGTCTGTCCGTCTGTCCCACGATTATCTCGAGAACGGTTCTGAATTTTCAAATTCTGTTTTCAGCAATCGATTACTGATCACCCAGGCATCTGAACCTCCTATTTTGAAACTGATTGCTCAACGGCAACCGTTAGAAACCGCTACAAAGCTGATTGCTTTGGCACTTTACCATGCTGTTAGCTTGCTAGGTTTATTTTAAACTTTTAGGGGTAATTTAAAAACATCATTATTAGGGAACACATTAAAAGAAAAAAATCCGATCTAGGCATTAAACTGCGGACGTGATGACCACAAATGTGAGCAGTACGAATTTTCGGAATTTTATAAAACATGGCGTAGACCGCGAACCGTTCGGGATAGAATTTTTTTTAGGGAATCGAGCCCCCCCCCCCCCCCCCCAAGACGTACATACCAGATTATCCACCATTACTGGGACAGCCTGTATATATGTTATTTTACAGAAGACTATAATGTACTGACCCCCTGGGTGAAAACGGCTGGGTTGTCCTGCTCCAACATGGCCTCTAGCTCGTCGTCGGTGGTGGCGCGGCCCGTGATCTCAAGCTGCCGAAGTATCCTATTTTTGCAGCGGTCCCGGTAGTCGGTCTGCGTTCGGTTGTACTCGGTCATCACCTCGACGAACTTGCGCGATAACGTCGAGTGCTGCGTTTTTCTTATTCTCAGGTCCGCCGACGATTTGTTCGAATGCTCCTCTTGTTCGATGTTCTGCTCTATGTCTGTGGATCAGTGGTTAGATATCATTTATAAAAGTAGTTAGGAGAAGGAAAACATAGGTACATGCAAAGTCATGTCTTCGTAACACCGTTTAATCAGATGACGGCTAAACACGTTTTATTAAGTAACTAAGATTCGATAAAACATACACCAAATCTTAGTATATGATGTGTCATCACATAGCTTTTGTTTGTAGAGACGCCCTATAGAACCTAAAATAACATTCCTTTAGTTTGGCATTAACCTTTCCCAATGAAAACATTACTCCTAAGTAAGTTTTCATATTCCTACAAAATATACAAGAATAAGATACAGAATACTGAAATAAAAAATATCAATTAAAGCAATCTGTTTTATTTTGTTTATTTCTTTCTACATTTTTACAGATGGAAATGATGGTGTTTTAACCGAATAATGTAAATTATAAATTCTTAACAAATAAAATTTATCTGGGAAACCACTAAAATCCTAATAGGGAAGAACAAAATAAATCGATACCCATCTATCTCTTTTCTGAATATTTGCGTGCTACGCTGGGATTTGAGAGAATTATGTTAAAGATAAAAGAGATCATTACCGGTAACAAACGCACAAAATCACTTACGTTTTAACTTTCCTCTAACTTTGTTGGCAGTTTTCTTAATATCAGCCATGAGATCTTCTAATTCGTGCTTTGTTTCTGAAATAGAAAAAAACATTTTAATTGTTAAAAATTAACTTGTATGTCTATAAGAATAAAATTGATTTTAAAATGATTGATGCCGAAAAATTGAATTTTTTTATAGAATTAAGGTGACAAACGAGGACACATTCCAGCCGATGGTAAGTGTGGCCCGTGATCTATAGCCATCTAAATCTATCCTCGATTAAGATTCACAACGTAGAAGTGTTGTCAGTGTGTCACCTTTGAGAACTAAGATGGAATGCCTCGTTCCAAGTAAAAATTGGCTCTGATTATCTACATTTACCATACGGAACACAATAGCATTAAGCTGGTATTCTGTGAGAGTGTGGTCGTTCCCTGTTTGAGTCGACCCATTCGTGCTGCATCCATAAATTAGACGTGGCTCCACCATGTTTATATTTCTGACGTCTCGTTGAATAGAAGTAAAATAATACATTTGATGGAACCAAACCTAACGATAATTTTAACAAACAACCATAAAAATTGCGTTTTGGTTAAAATATTGGTGTCTTTTTTAATAAATGAATTGTATTCTATCACATAATGGTAACTGACGTTTTTTGTTTTAGCTACGATGTCAAACGTCAGAATTGTGGCCAATGAGTCGTAATGGGATGACAACATTTTGATCCTTGCTGATTTTACAAAAACTCGTAGGATAAGTAGACACGCACCGAAACAGTTGAAATATTAATAAAAAAAATTATGATTGCTATTGTTTATTTCTTCTTTCTAAATGAATATTTATTCATCCCACGCGTATTTCGTAGTTTTATTAAGCGCTGTTTATGATCTCTCATACAAATTAATTGTTAATATTGTTTCAGGCAGTTCTGTAAAGATAAAATTCAACAGCATCTCAAACAAATTGGGGTGGGAGTTAATGGTTATTTCAAGTAAATTCACTAAGAGCAGTAACAGAAGTTTCCACGCAAGTGTCAGGGATCCTGTAGGCGTTCGGATATTCGAATGTCATTTATAGCTAAAGAAAAGTTTAATACTTTGCTATGCTACGATGTCATATTGTATTTAAAGGTCATTAAATTCAGTGCTGTGCACCACGCATTCCCCGAAGTTATTATACCACGTGCCCTGTTCCCCTTATCTACTTCCTAAAGATTATTGTGAAAATAGTAAAAATGATTTCTTTTTTAACAGATTTCATTTCCGGATTAGGTCTATTCTATAGTTCCCAAATCTCAATTTTCCTAAATTTTATTAATTATATTAAGTATATAATTGTTAATTGTACCGTGTTGTGCAAAAATGTTTCAACCCACAAAAAACAAAGTTATTCAGATTTGAAAGATTAATGCACTTTTGTTGAGGCAGAAGCTCAATTACATCTTGATATGAATAATATGGATGTAGATTTTGGGATTAGTTATTATTTTTCAGAAGTCTCTCATACTTATGGTTGTAGCACAAATGGGTCGGCTTGACTGGAGTAGAACCACCCTCTCACAGAATACCAGCGTAAAATAGCAGCTTAATACTGCTGTGTTTCGTATGATGAGTTAAAAGAACTGGAGATTCTTTTTACTGGCAGCAAGGAATTCTATCTTTAAGTCTCAGGGGTATCAAGTATTTTGATTTTTTAATCAAGGATAAATGTATGATAGGATGTATGTATGTATGTGTCTATGGGCTACAACATCCATATATCATCAGGTGGACACTGTGTGCACGTTTGTCAGTCCTATTTTATTAAAAAAAAAAACTTTTGAAGATGTGAATTTCATTTCATTTTCAGGTGTGAAAAAGCTTGTATGATGTATGTATGTATGTGTCTATGGGCTACAGCATCCATATATCATCAGGTGAACACTGTGTGCATGTTTGTCACTCATATTTTATAAAAAAAAAAAACTTTTAGAGATGCGAATTTCATTTCATTTCCATGTGTGAAATAGCTTGTATGATGTATGTATGTATGTGTCTATGGGCTACAGCATCCATATATCATCAGGTGAACACTGTGTGCACGTATGTCACTCATATTTTATTAAAAAAAAACTTTTAGAGATGTGAATTTCATTTCATTTTCAGGTGTGAAAAAGCTTGTATGATGTATGTATGTATGTGTCTATGGGCTACAGCATCCATATATCATCAGGTGGACACTGTGTGCACGTTTGTCCCTCCTATTTTATAAAAAAAAAAAACTTTTGGAGATGTGAATTTCATCAGCATCCATGTATATAATAATTATTTATACTCTATTTCATACTTTTAAAGAAAGAATGAGTAAACGTTATTCTTCATTTCTTCAGTTGTCGCTAGTTCAACTACAGCTCCACGACAACTTCCGAATGCTGTCGGAAGGGGTCAACGACAACGGACGCGTAGATATTATCATAATGTCACACGTGTATATGCGCGTATACAAGGGCACTCATTCGTCATAGCCCATTTTAAATGTAAAGCTTATCCGATAAGAATGTAGGTATGGTTGAAATGTAAGAAATTAAGGACTATAACAACACATACAATACCATAATATTACTAAAGGCGATTCAGTGACTGCTTAAGATTACCGATCAGCTTATTTTGTTCCGTGGTTTTCGTAAGAAGTGGCCATGGGATATGCTAAAAAAATCTTATTTCTTTCGATAGATTGCGGTATAACCATCTCGTTTATGCCAGATATAAAATATCCGGCGAGGGGAAGCAGCGTCAAAGGTGCAAAACGTTTGTTACTGTGACCGTCAATCCAAACCTTCCTACAATGGGAGAGGCCCATGTCCAGTAATGAACTTTTGCGGGCGGGGATCAAAGAAGACGAAGAAGAAGAAAGGTCCTGGTAGTTCAGACTGCAACCGAAACCTATTGGTTCAGTAAGCAGAGAAGTTGTGCGAGAAAGAAAACTCCTAGTAAAACACACAGTGGTGGACCGCCAAGCATTCAGATCCATATTCACCGTAAGGTATCGTGAATATATAGGCGATGTGTGCGTTCGTTAAATTTAGCAGCTGGAATTAATCCGAACAATTCCTCAGAGCACTCCTCATGGTAGATGCTATAGACAATGCAAAGGGATGCGACATCCCTACGCAGGGCCAGTGAATCGAACCGATCAGAAACAACTCGGTCGTCAACGATTCGAAACGCTCTGCGTTGAATGTGGTCAAGTGGAAGGAGCTGGCACTGGGGTGCCCAGGCCCAGAGATGAGAACAGTATAGAGAGAAATACAGTCTGCTGCTGCACTCTGCTGAGCACGCCATACATTTTAGAGGTCAATTTGGTCTTCCCTTCCAAGTGACCACGAAACTGCACATTATTCGATATCTCGACTTCTAGGATTCCGATGCTAGCTGAAGCAGCAAAAGGAGTGCCTTAAAACTGAGGAGATACGACAACGAGATTCTTTTAAGCGGTATATGCGCAAACTTATGTTTCCTGGGAATTGAACTGGACTAGATTTAGTCGCCCCAAATCCGAGACTGTTCAGCAAAGACCTGACTTCAGACACAAGTTTGTTCCGGTACTCAACGTGACGTTTTCTCGAGAAATATTGGCACGACCGGTGTATAAGGCATCATCAGTGCCATCGTCTGCATAGCAATGAATGTTACCAGTTTGCAACATATCACTGATATGCAGAAGAAACAGCGTTGGTGATAGCACGCAACCTTCTTGAACACCGGCGTTTATAGGCTTATTAAATTTGAGAAAAAATTACTTTGCGTACATCCGCTAGATAAAATAAAATGATGTGTCTTACCTAGTTTGAAGAGCACCTCCCGCCCTCCCTCAATTGCGTGCACTATCCCCGTCACCACTAATTCCAGCACCACTACTCCCCACACCACTAAACTAGGAAAGACACACCACTGACAACAATACGACACGTGTTTCGCCTCTACACGATGAAAAGACTTTACTCTACTCTACCAAGGCTTTAGCGGTTAGCCACGGTAGAGTCTATATCACCTGAGGATGTACGCAAAGTAATTTTTTGTCAAATTTAATATAATGGACTTCCGCAAAGTAACGCCTGATTCTATTAATTATGTTAATAGGCTTGTAATCAGAGCATGCACCGTCTAATACGACCTTGGTACTCCGATCAGCAAGGAAACTGAGGAAACAAGGTGATCCAATTGCACAATTTCTCGGGAAGCCCATAGGAAGGGAGCTTCAAAAGAAGCGCTTTGTGTCAGACAGTCAGTGTCGAAGGCCTCCACTATATCCAAACTAACGGCCCATCTATGAATCAGGTAGCCCAGAAGATTACCAGCTGATCGGCCCCGAAGAAAACCGTATTGGCGATCACTAATCAACCATATGCCAAAGAAAAGCCATAAACAGATCTCCCCGCATGATCGGTTAATCGTGAACCGAGCCATTCGGCGTGGTGGGCGTTAAAATCGCCAAGGATCACCATCTCTGCGGATGCGATCTGCTGTAGCAATCCAATCTGTAGCCATTTGGCCATGGTCGATGAGTTGGTCTGTTTCGGCATTATCTCTATGGGACCTATGGAGGCACTCGGGGGCACGCGGGGATGGTCGACGCTGTCTTCGTGCAGCCATAGGATGGATAGGTCCGCATCTTCAAGACTACCGAGGCGTCGAAAACAGATGTCCTCTCTGACGTATACGCACACTCCAGCCCGGGACACAAGGGAGAGTTCTAATTTATATCCCGGGTAGGAGAGATATGAAGTATCAGCCGGAGAGGACACCTGAATCTTGGTTAAAAAGAGCAAGCCCGGTTTCGCCGTCTCCAGATGGTAGTGGACAACGTTAATGTTTCAATGTAGTTCTCTGATGTTGCAAAAACTCACGTAGAGCATCACAGGGGTCGCCTGGGTCTTACTGCTCTGCTTGCTCCGAGCAATTTTAGTTTTAGCAACATGATATATTTTTCGCCACAATGGGTCACCTTATTAAAAGATGCTATACCTTAGCATCTTTTAATAAGGTGACCCAGTGTGGTCTTGAAGCGCAATCAATGCTGCTAGTGCGTGCGGTGCGGGGTCTGTGGGGTG